CTTGTCTTTAAGCATCGGAATTTGGGGATTTGAACATATCACCTGTGCACTTCATCTGACAGTTTTTGCAAATCCTTGGCCAAGGATTCAGGAGATTCTAAGGAATCCTTGCAGTGAAGGGTGTGGACGAGATATCCAGAGCTACCAAAAACAATCGTGGTGATCACGAATTTAATCAGACAAAATTCTAGTTTTTGGGGCTGGTTGGTTGGTTTCACCTAGCTTTGAGATTTTTCTCTTTCAAGTAACAGCAAAAGAAATGTAAAATAGTAAGAGTTTGTAGATGGAGGTAGAGAAGAAGGAAACATTGGCCTAGATCTAAACAAAGAAATTATATTAGGAAGATGTAATGCTAAAAGTCTTTTGTTTCCCATATTTACACCAGTATGTTTCCATAAGAGCAAGGTCCTGTGCAGTAGGTCAGGCCTCAGCTGAGGTGTCTCTGGTGCCTTTCGCAGGTCATGTTTCGCATTAGTGCTGTGTGAGTAGCTGGTGTGTAGCACAGAGCCCTGAGGGTGTGTTCAGAAATCAGTGTGCAGTGAAGTCACTTGGTAAACTATGGGCAGACACCTCCAGAAGACACCAGATTCATCTTGTGTTTGACTTTGGTTGCTGTCCATTTAGAACTTTTTATTGTTACCCGAATTCTATTGTACAATCTGACATGGGGTCCCAATGCACAGTGTCCCTGATGCTCAGAGCGAGCAGAGATGGCCAACAGAGACTAGGAACCAAAATTCTTGGGAGGGGCAGAGGAGAGTGCTGTGGCCTCAGTGTCTTCATCTTTAAAGTGAAAGTAACCATAGTACCAGATAGGGATGGAGTGAGGGTTACTTGACATAATGCTCAAAAGCTTCTCATCATCCTTGGTGTTACAGAGCCCTCGGGGAGTAGTGAGTGACAGCACTGGGAAATTATTTCTGATTAAAAGTGGTGAGCCAGTGCCTTGCTGCAGTTTGTCGGTAAAGGGGCACTGCTGGCTACACTGGTGTGCCCAGGTTTACTTATCCTTTGTTTATTCAAGTGCTCCATGAACTAAGTTCTTACCGCTTTGACAATGTTATGAATGTGTATCCTAAGTTAGCCTATTGACCCTCATGAAGTCAGCTCATAATTCAAATGAATTATTTGTTCAAAACAAATTTGCTTCTTAATTCATTGGAAATAATATTTCTTTAATTATATAACTCATAGCTTAGAATGTACATGATTTTTTTTTAAAAAAACTGGATAGTTGATTAAAACAAGATTTTGACATGTTGGTATATGTGACTATTTGTGAAATTTTCCTTTAAGACTTTCAAATGAGCAGGGAGTTGGTAGCACACAGCCTGCCTTTAATCTCAGCACTCTGCAAGGCAGAGGAAGGCATATCTCTGTGAGTTCAAGGCCAGCCTGGTCTAGAGAGCTAGTTCCAAGACAAACTCCAAAGCAATACAGAAAAACCCTGTCTCAAAAAAAAAAAAAAAAAGCAAAAACAAACAAACAAAAAAAGACTTCCAAATGAAATAACCTCAGCACAGATGAGGAAGACGGATCAGCCGGTGAGAGGGCTTACTTCCCAGAACCCACAGCACCCATGGGCTCATACCTACTGCTAATTCCAGTTCCAGGGTATCTGACACCTTGCTCTGGCTGCCTCAGGCACTCACATATCCCAAGATAAAAAGAAAACATAATCTTTAAAAATTGAAGAAGTAACCTTACCACATTTTTGTTTAAATAAATGAATAATATTCCTTAGCTATTAAATTAGGCACATAAAAGTATAAAACTTGCATCGTGAAACTGGTGGACAGTTGGTTCAATAAAGTGCTTGTGTTTGATACACAGAGCTCATGGGACAAAAAAGCAGGATACAATGATGCATACTCCCAGCGCTGGGAGGTGGTGGCAAAAACACCTCTGAGCACACAGCTCAGCCTACTTGCTAGGTTCTAGACCAGTGAGAAACCCTGTTTCAACCTGAGATAGCCCCTAATGGTTGTCCTGGCCTCAATATGCATGTGCTCATGTGTGCATGTGCACCTTTACATGCAAACATTTCACTCATAGGCATGACAGATCTAAATGGAAAGGCAGAGACATAGAAACTGCTTTGCTTGCAGTGCTTATCAGCCTGTTTTGCTGTGCTGTATAACTTGAACAAATTAGAGTGAGAAAAAGTAATGATGATGGGAGCCAAGGTTCTGACCCACACAGATGTGGAAAGCTTCGGCCAGGGCTAAAGGAGCAAAGCTGTAGGAAGCTTTGCTTCGATAACAGCTCTGGAAAGTGCAGACCCCTGAAACAGCAGTGCCTCTTCCAAGGCGGCTTGAGTTGCCATCTGTGTAAAGACCCTCCCCACGCTGACCTTCAAAGGGGTTTGTCAGGGAATTTTTACATTTCTAATGTGTTTTGGAAAGTCCAGATTTAATGTGGCTTTAAAACTGTAATGTTGAACTTTTAAAAACTTTCCACACCAAAACCATCTACAAATCCTTTCTACAAAACACATAGCCACATCTATCTCTGTTAATTATTTTGTTTATGGCTTGTCTCCATTTTATCATAACAAAGGAAAATTTGAAAACAAACAGAAAACCCATAATCCCCAGCTCTGACCCCAACACTGACTCTGAACACAGCATTCGCTTGCCTTCTCCCCTATTATTAAAGCATCTCTAGTTGTTTTTAGTCTCCTGGTATTTCGTCGTTTTTCCCACATGTTGCCCATTCCTCAGGGTTTTCTTCCCCTGTTTACCTGATCAGAGCAATGCGGCACTGGGCACTTTTATCTGGCACATGCCTCCTTCTGCCCTGTAGAGCTCGCTATGGGTGTAGTTGCCCTCCTTTGCAGTTTCACAAGTAGAATCTCTAGCAGCAAGCTGACCCATTATCGCTCTTCTGGTCCGTCCATCACTGTGCTTCCCTTTCCTTCCTGAGTGATGCTCTTATTGCCATACTCTTGTTTCCTTTTTAAGCACCTTGTAGTTTTAATAGTAATCTATTTGGCCTGCTAGGAAGCAATACAAAGTTTAGGTTGTTAACTACCATGTGCTGTACGTGTTTTGTACCCAGTCAATAATCCGTGAGCTGCTTCATGTAACTCAATGTTACATCTGATTTCTTTGCTGCATAGCTGTTATTTGACTTGTGATAATTTTCTTATTTCTTACTTTAATTTTGTTTTTAATTGGAAAATAGCGTATTTTGTTGTGTAATTGATATTTTTATATATGTATACATTGAGAAATGACCAAGCCAGTCTAATTAGCATATCCTTAGCACTTCAGTCCACTCTCAGCTCCTTGAAATAGTTAATGCATTACTAATAATTGCCACCATGCTGTGCAGTATATCGTGGAGTAGCAGATTTCCTTTCAAAATAACTTTCAGCTGAGTGAATGTCACACCATGATGATAAATGGTAAAGGAAATGATGCCTCAAATATAGTTACTCATTAGAACCATCATTTTGAAAAATCACATTCGTTTACACTAGGGTCTCTCTAAAGACTGCTAGTCATATATTATTTAAACTTTCATGGGTGAATATTGTCTGGGACTTTCTGACTAGCTGTAACTAGTAATATTAATTTATGTCTTAGATCACACTTTTATATTAAAATGTTTAAAGGTTATTAGATGTCCATTGACATGTGTATTTTACATCTACAGACTGCCACTTGTAGGAATAATAGAGACTATTTTAGTTTATTCTCCTTATGGAGTAAAAGCCACTGATATCTGGATTAGCATGGTAGTCGTTACAGAATTTGGCACCACAGACTACTTTCTAATACGGCATTTATTTTCTAATGTTACCTTATATTACACACCATATTATATCTAATCTATTTACCTTTCCATTCTTTTACATTTTATGATCATTGTCACACTTATTGTTAATATTGTTTTCTGGCATGTTTCCCTTCGAATTCCATTGTCTCACATCCAGGGAGACAGTCAGCTGGTAGAGGTGCTTGTCACCAAGCCTGATGACCTGAATTTTCTCCAAGACCCACATGGTGGAAAGAGCTTGTCCTCTGAGTGCCACATGTGTAACATGGCACACACATGCCCACATATATACACTCTAAATAAATAAATAGAAGAGAAGTTCATTCCCACACTAAAGAGAAACAGTGTATAACATGGATGATTTTTAAATATAGGATTTCTGGGGCTGTGACATGGCTTAGTGGATAAAGACACCTGTCACCAAGTCTGATGATCTGAGTTTGATCTCAGGAACCCAAATGGTAAAAGGAGAGAACCAGCTTCCAAATGTTATCCTCTGACTGCCACACGTGTGTGTGTGTGTGTGTGTGTGTGTGCGCGTGCACACACACACACACACACAGAAATAAATAAATAAATAAAACTAGAATTTTCTTCCATTTTGTTTATGAGACAGATTCTCAGTGTGTAGTTCTTCCTGGCCTGGAACTTAGAGAGATCTGCCTGTCTTTGCCTCCAAGTGCTAAGGTTACTTTTTAAAGTAAATACATATGTATATGATTCTATCAGAATGAGCCTTGGAGCTCATGTGACATTCCTAACATCGTCTCTGGTGTAAATGTGTTTGCATACATTACAGAATGTTTTATCTGTATTGTTTGCTACTAGACATCATTTAACATTTGGAGTCAGTCAGCCTTTCCTCGTTCCTTATTTTATTAAATACTCTGCTCATATCTAGCCTTCTCTCCTTTTAATGTTCCCTCACTACAAGGGCATAAACAAACAAGCCATCTCTTAGAAAACCATCTTTCCCAGCTGGGCCTGGTAGTGCAGGCCTACTTTCAATGCCTGTTTGAGCTACAGGGTAACTTCAAGACCAACCTGAGTAACTTATGAGACCCTGTCTTAAAATAAGAATTAAGAACAGACTGGACCCAGCTCTTTGGTAGAGTATTTATTTGGAGTATGCACAACGCTCCAGGTTCAACCTCCAGCTGGGCCCAGGGGTCATCTTCCAGCTAACTGAAACTCAGTACTCAAAATTCAAAATATTAATTGCTTCCTCACCTTTTAGCTAAGATCAAGCATAGTATCTATTTTAATAAGTTCACTGTCTTGTGCAGCCTCTCTTTGAGGACTATGTAAATGACTATTTGGAGAAGAGAGATGGAACTGAGGCTCACTCCATCAACTGTACGCCACCTATTGCAGTACCTCCAGGAATGGTGTACCCCTTCAGAGGACTGAATTATTTTAATTTCTCAAATATTAAAATAATAATTCAAAATACAGTTGTCTATTGGTTAAAAACCTTTCCTTTGGCAAAATATTTAGTAATGACACAAACAATTTTAGTTTTAATTTGTATCTGGCACAAAATTTGGTTCCCATTTTACACAGATACCTAAGAAGGGACACCATAACTCTTGTATCTTAAAAGAATTGTATTCTAGGCCAGTCAGTGGTGGCTCACGCCTTTAATCCCAGCATTTGGGAGGCAGAGGCAGACAGATCTCTTGAGTTCAAGACCAGCCTGGTCTACAAGAGCTAGTTCCAGGACAGGCTACAAAGCCACAGAGAAACCCTGTCTCAAACACCACAACCTCCACTCCCATAAAAGAATTGTATTGGAGGTATATGCCTTTAATCCAAGCACTTGGGAAGCAGAGGCCAGCCTGATCTACAGAGCGAGTTCAGGACAACCAGGACTACACAAAGAAACCCTATCTCAAAAAACAAAAAGAATTGCATTAAATAGATGACATAGAACTATGAAACTTATTGTGATTCTCTTAATATTGGGATTTGTTGACCAAATACAACCTACATGAGCTCTCTAGAGTTTCATAGTAATAAAAACTGCTGTCACACATACTTTATGGGCATTTTAACATGTTTACCTGGGGCACAGAGAGATGACTCAATAGTTAAGAGCACTTACTGCTCTTACAAAGGACCTAAGTTTAGTTCTAAGCCCCACAGCCATCTGTAACTTCAGTTCCCTAGATTCTGACACCCTCTTCTGGCCTCCATGGGTGCTTATACATAGTACACATACATACACAGACAGTGTACTCATACGCATAAAAAAAATCTTTAAAATGTGTGTCATCTATTTTCTGGAGTTAAATTGTTGTTTAGCAGAAATTTGAAATGAGTTCCTAATAGGCCATTTTGTTAATCCCAATTAAAACTAGTTTAAAGTTAAGGAATCATTGAAAAACCAATTGTGAACTTTTGTCCTTGTCACGGCTTCATCCTTCCTTGCAACACCTAATATTTTACATTTATCCACACATCAGAAAAAAGCAAACATGTTCACCATTTACTGTTAGCACAAAACTTGGAAATATGTAGTGTTGATTCAAGCTTTTCCTGCATGGGTTGATTGGCCATGCTGCTGTCAGCAGGCACTCTCCAGGACAACATGCCCCTCATCCAAGGGATTCTCTGTGGCTTGAGAGAAAAACCTATGGTGTGCTTAAACTTTGAGGTTTCTGGGCAATGACCGAGCATTCCTACCCACCCTGCATGACAAATATCTTACCCTATGGTAAGAATTTCCAGCCTTCCCACATCTGTCAGTAGGAACTGCCACCTTGTTCTTACACATGGGAGGCCCAGCACACCTCATGTGTACTGAACCTACCAGCCACAGCCAAGGCAGTTTCAGTCCTCAGAGTGAAAAGCAAGGGAACACAAGGTAGGTGCAGTTGTTAAAGCCTAATAGGAGCATTCCCATCAGTAACACCCTCTGCTACCTTGACTTTCAGAAATAGTCTCATATTTTTCTCCTTTAATTAAAGTATTATTTTTATTCAGTATTTCAAGTGACTATCTGTTGGTTTTATTTACTGTTGTAGTTTTCCATTAAGATTCACAGGGAAACACATTTTGTAACACTCTTAAACGTCTTATTCTTTAAACACAGATTGTAGTTATTTGAAAATACTTTTGGGGTTTGGGAGGTGAATATTTCAGTATTGTGGAGGAAATGGATAGCAGAGAAATTTTGTTGAGATTGAAATGTGCTGGGATTTCCCCGTGACAGCCTCTCAGAGGTATAAGGAATAAAATGTTGGTGTCTCCTAATAACCAGGTCATTTCCCTCTACAGCTTCATAGGTCTGAAGTCCAAAGGTAGACGGTAATGTTTGGGGCAATTTATAGAAAGCAAATGTGGTCAGTGTGAAGCACAGTATTTGCTAATATAAGAAAGACTTTCGTTTTCCCCTCTCCAGCTCCTCCTCCCTCTGCACCTCCCCTTCCTCCTTCTGCCCCTCCTCTTCTGCTGCCTACAATAATCTCTCACAGATGATTAGACAACAGGTGCCAGGAGAGCAAAGCAAGCTGGCTTTGTGCCACATGCTCGCCCCAGGTTTCGGTGTATCGCCGTGTCCTTCCAAAGGAAGGGATAACACAGTTGAAATACATACTACAGCTCCTAGGGGATTAAGTGTTTCCTTTGCTTTATAGTACAGAATTTTACAGTGTCTTTGTTTGGGAGTTCTCAGGTTGCTTAATGATTTCTCTAGCCTCCCACCCCACCCACCGTGGCCAGATGTGCATTCAAACCTCTGCAGGTTGGCCTATTTCATTGCACAGCTTATGATATAGCTTTTCTTTATTTAATGATGCATTTACATGTTTTGTATTTTAGGGAGCCAATTCAGAGTCATGTTGCTTAATCTCATTACCATGCATAAGATGCCTTTGTGGTGCACAGTTGCAGAGAGCTCTGTAAGGATTTTATTAATTATTCAGGTCTTGTGTCTGTATTAAATCACAACTGAAGTAGTACTAATTTGATCACTTTTCTAATCTTTAAAGTTGAGGGGTATTGTTTTGTTTTGTAGTCTCTGTTGGTGCCACTAGACTTTGGTGCATTTATTTACTTTTCAAAACAGCCTCTAGACTTCACTATTTTAAGAACAGACTTTGAGGGAATTCCAGCCTTTGGCAGCTGTTTGAATAGAAATTCCTTAGAGCTTTCTTAGAGATCTTAGAAAGCTCTTAACTAACCTTGAACTCCCCCATTGACGAAACGTGCTGAGATGTGAACTCAACCCACTCCGCCTCTCAGGAGTTCACCCTGTGCTGAAGTAGATATGCCCTTGGAAGTGGAGCCAAGAGGGAAGGTGGGGATAGGGAAAACAGAGCTCGTTTAGAGGTACCGGATAATAATCCACTGCCGAAAGATACAAACGTGCTTCCTGGAAGGTAGGGGACAAGAGTGCCAGCTCAAACAGGGACACCAGCCATGGGTTAGTAGCATTAGGAGAAAGAGGTTACACATGGTAGTGGGGTAAGAATAAGAAAAGGAGTTTGTCCTGTTAGAGGAGCTGGTACTCAGTAACAAAGAAGGCCCTGGCTACAGATGGAGATGGAGGAAGAAGAAAAGCAGCAGGTGCCTGAGAGTGGCTGGGAGTGATGAAAGGCCTCCTCACAGGCTGCAGCACTGGACTTGAGTGAAGTGAGCAGTGAGGGCCCAGTGATCCCCACGCGGAAGCTTTTTCCAGTGAAGTGCTTCTACACGGGCACAGCCCAAAACGTGGAATCCAGGGGATCCTAACCCGCACTAATGTAGGTAAGCAGGTCCAACAGGCAGGGCCATGGCCTGTGCACTGCTGAAAGTGTGCCTCAGAAGGACTGGTGGGTAGCTTAGAAAGCTCCACCCAAGAGGTAGAGGCCAAACACTCCAGAGGTGTGCATGGCTGTGAGAACTTTGCCAGCCATGGTGGTATTCACTTCACTCCCTGGGTGGTGGGCAGGACAGAGGGTTTTATGCTGGGGGGGAGGGCGGACATGACCAGCTTTGCTTCTAGAAAGATGACAAACTGTTGCAAACCATTGTCTGAAAAACAAGAGGGAGGTGTGGGGGGGGGAGCAGTGTCCTGAAAGAGAGCAGGGCTTGGGGGAGAATGGTGGTAAGGGAGTGGCTAGGAGGGGTGAGCCCATAGAGCATCCTGGGGATAAGATAGTGACTGCATATGAGATTAGTTTTATCTTCTTATGTGGCTCTGAGGGAAGAACAGGCTGTTAGTGGCTAGGAGCCCCTGAATGCTGGTTTTGTATTAGGTGAGTTTAGTAATTATTTTATTTGTCTAGGTCTCGTGTCAGTTAGGAAGAAATGCTTGGTTTGAGCTTTGAGACAGGGTTTGGTCATGCAGTCAGGATAGCTCTGTACCCCTGTAAGGATGTAATTAAAGGTAAGCACCACCACACCTGGCTTGAGTTTATTTTCACTTACCTTTCTTTTCCCTAAATAGAAAATGCATGGTCTTTATAGACACTGAAAAATAGAAAAGATAAGAGTAATAAATCATCCTCCCTCACAACTTAGAGAGAGGTATTATAAATATTACCATTTCCTTCCATCTTTTGTCAGAGAGCAGTGTTTACAAATTGAGATTCCCCCTGGCAGGAATAAAAGGTCACTTTACAGCAGAGGCTCTGAGAGCTAGCACAGGCTGGCCTTTTCCGGTGCTTTTACTCTAGGACCGCTAAAGGACCGCTAAAGTTAACCTTTAATATGGGCTAATGGGCTAGGTTACCTTTTTTGCCCATTTGTTTGTTTGTTTGTCTGTTTATTTTGAAGGTGAAGCCTTCATGAGAGATGAAGACCCGTTCAGAGAACATTGTGCAGTGAGCATGTGTGTGAAAGTGAAAGCCACTTTTGATAAATACCAGATTGCCCACATTTGCTATTTCAAAGTCTTCATGGTGGGGGGAGGGGGGGACAAAAAATAAAAATAACTCAGTGGGAATGAGTCTTAGTTTGTTTACTGGAGGTAGGCCAGTAGAACATTGGAAACAAGGAGTGAGGGATGACAGGGCATCTTAACTGGCTTATAAGAAATGATGTGTGGGTCCTGCTGGGCATAGTACCCCTCCCTGAACTTTTTTTTTTTTTTTTTTAACAGCCCTTTTAATCTGGTCCAAGATTGATGGAGATATTATCTTGGGCTGTAAAAAGCTGTGAGGTAGATTGGAATGACAAACACACATTGACAGCTTTTGAGAAGATGGATGGAGACACAAGCTCTAAACTCCAGCAGGCTCCAGGCCCTGTTCTCCTGCGGGCCCTTTGCAGGAATGTTGCTCTCACTATTTAGTTCAGGAGGAGAAAGGTTGCACCTTGTTATCTAGTTGAATTTTTTCCCTAGCCCGGCTTATAAACATCTCTAAAATAAAGGTCTCTTTTTGTTTGTTTGTTTGCATAGGATATAATTAATCA